CCTTCCTGTGCCTCTTGGCCTTAGACACCTCTGAGCCCGACGCTTCCATGCGTTCTGGGGGACTAGTGTCGCCTTGATTGTGGGGTAGGGCTCTCAAGAGGGCCTTCTCCACAGAAGCCGCCACGGTGGCATTGATCATGGCTTGAAAATCTTGGTTATTTTGGGTATCCTCCATGATCTGAGGTGTATCCCGACCTGTAGGGCGAAAACAAGTTTCAGTGGGCAAGTTGTGGATGTTTGTAATATAAAATAGGGGTCGGTTCCCTTTACAACCGGGGGTTCCCCGGGGTAGGGGAGTATATATATATATATATATATATATATATATATATATATATATATATAGAAGGCTTTATGCACGTAATATAGCAATTAGGGCTATGAATCTGTAGAATTCGGGGATAGGCCCTCGTGCATAACATCGGGGTTCGCCCCGGGTGGTGTGCCGTGGAAGCCAGAGGACACCCACATCAACTGAAAAAAAGGTGGGCCGTAGCGCCCTTGCATGCATATCTGGGGGGTCACCCCAGGTGGTGTGCCATGAAAAAATACCCAGAGGACACCCACATAAATTTACACCCTTGGGTGCAGTAATGAAATATGACCCTGTGTAGGGTAACTAATATGACAAACCCTTTAAGGGTGTAGTAATACCAAAATCCCCTGAGGGGTTAGTATAAATGTATATGTCCTGTACAAAACAAGGGACAATGAAGTTTGGTATTTAATAGCCTTCAAATATATATATTATCCGTGCATGCAATACTCTTGCCTCGCTGAGGCAGCCATTCAGTGCAGGTAAGCAGGTTATCTACCCCTTGTAGGGAGTACACACAGTACAGGAGGTAACAGGTAGTGTAGGGCACGATGAGAGGAATATATCAGAGTGTCAGTGCACAGCAGAAACGAAAAACCACTTTATTAATGGGTCAGCATGCCTTGAGAGGGGGAAAACCTGAAGGGGTTAATGGTGATGTAGGATGCGGAGATTGGGTGATTCCCGATCCGCCGTGTGAGCGGGAAAGGCGGCCGTCGTGGATCTCGCAAGCCGCGAGATCCAAGATGGCCACCGGCCGCGTGTGCACTGAAGATTCGCTCGCGGCCGCGGGTGACGAAAGCCCCGGCTACCCTCCACCCGTCCCCACACAGTCCCCAGTAGTGTCAGCAGGGCAGGTCCTCGCGGCGAGCCCGGCACGGGCAGCCGCGACGCCCGCGGACCGCCAGATACAGAATAGGGATAAAAGGCAAACGGTACAAACAAAATCAGTTGACACACTAAGAAAGGGGGAACAGGGGGACAGGATAGGCAGCCAGGGGAATACTAAGTACAAAGGAAATACCAATATTAAGTACAGAATGATAATAAAGTACAATCATATAAGTATATTAGAGAGGTAAAAATACTCTGACCTGTTGTATGACTGGAGCAGCAAAGAAAGAGGAAGTGATGTCATAGACAGGGCCTTTTATGGGCACCATTTCTTTTCTCTGATTGGTTGTTACTGTTTCTATGCTGCTGGAGTTTTCAGTAAAGAAAGATATGCAAATATGAAGCCTCCTGTCATGTGGTAAAATTACCAGATTTTACTAATAACATGACGTAAAGTCATGATTTTATAAAGGACAAGGAGGCGAGTATTAGGCTTCTCTCTTTCTTTTATTTCCTCCGCAGCAAAGAAAAAGCTAAGGTGTTTATTTGTATAGAAAAAAGAAAATATGCATAACTACCCTCACAGGGTTAACATTACATCACCAACTTCCCACCAATAGGAACAGTCCTTCTCTCATATCCTCTCATGTATCCTCCTCCTCTTCCTCTTTCTTGATGTTGCCGAAGCTACAATGTCCTCAACAGCGACAAACTATAACTTCATCGTAAGAAACGAAACAGAACAGAAAAAACTTCCGGAGCACATCGTCTTTAACTGCGTGATCCGGCATCTTCAACGATGCGTATCTGGAGGACCAATCAGGCTCAAAAGGACAAGAAAACCAATGGTAAAATGTGTCCTTGCCAACTAGTTTCGTTTCATCACTCATTACAAAAAAACGAGCTAGTCATGTAATCCTGTACATATCAACCTACAATCGTCACTCGTCCGTCATACACGTGCTCTGTGGGTCGAAAGTAATATTCCTTAAACGTCGACTCACGTGACCAATCCGCTGTTCTCAAAAGATCCTCCAATCTACAGCCCGAACTGAAAACTTTGGACGCCATAGCACCCCTGGTAGAGTGTGCCCCATAGACCACAGTATCTATGTGCGCCATCGTCATTACCCATTTCACCCACTGGGCGAGAGTCACCGTGGATACCGGATGATGCGGTCGTTTGATAGCCAAAAATAATTCCGGGTGCATCGGATTCCTGAATCCAAAGGTTCGTTTCTCGTATTCCCGTAGGCAGTCTACTGGACAAAGTTTGATGTTATGTGGGAACGAGGGGTAAGAAACTGAAGTAATTGCCGACTTAGTACGCCTGGAGATGTGGAAGGAGACTCCCGTAGGGGTAAAGGAGCGTGCCATAACATCCAGTGCTCTAACATCCGACACCCTCTTGCAGGAAATCAGGCACAAAAGCATGGTCAATTTCGCTGACAGTTGTTTAAGCGAGAGTGCATCATTGTGTGGCCAAGATTCCAACAATTGTAAGACTGAAGTGACGTCCCATAATGCCGTGTACCTGGGTTGCGGGGGACGAGCAAACCGAATTCCCCGTAGGAGACGGCATACCGGCAGTTGTTGTCCCATCGGGGTTCCATCTATCCCTCTATGTCCTGCGGAAATCGCCGATCTAAAAACATTAATGGTTCGGTATGCGAAGCCTTGGGTGTACAGGTCAGTGAGGAAACGTAACAAAGGAGCTATAGGCGCACATACGGGATCCACTCGTTGCTCCAGGCACCAACGACTCCATCCGTTCCAGGCATGGAGGTAGGACCTTCTAGTTCCGGGCGCCCAAGCTCCTGCCAGTAACTCGATAGTTTCTCGTGGAACATCTGGCACAACCCAGGGTCCCCTGAAAGGAGCCACGCCACAAGCTTGAGCTGCCCTTGAGCCAGTAGGGGATGTGGATTGCCCTCCGGGTCCGATAAAAGGAATAAGGCATCCGGGAGTAATCGCGGGAAGTCCACTGACATCTCCATGAGTGTTGGAAACCACGGTTGAGCTGTCCAAAACGGGGCTACGAGGACCAGTGATGCCCGGGTCCGTCTGAGATGCACCAGTGTCCGGGCTATGAGGGCGAACGGTGGAAAGGTGTATAATCGGCCGTCCGGCCAGTGTTGGAGGAAAGCATCTGTCGCCAGTGCGTCTGGATCCGGTCTCCAGCTGAAGAATGTTGGTAATTGGGAGTTCAACTGAGATGCGAACAAATCGATCTTCATTGGGCCCCACAGCGTCTGAAGTCGTAAGAACACATTGCGGTTCAGCCGCCAATCGCTGGCGTCGTACAGATGTCTCGAATGCCAATCCGCCATGACGTTGGATAAACCCTGGATGTATTCCGCCTGTATTGAAATATTGCGATCCAGGCAGTATTGCCAGAACTCCTTGGCCAGGTCTGTCAAAATCTCTGATTTCGTGCCACCCAGGTGGTTGATGTACCGGACCGCTGAAATGTTGTCCATGCGCAGGATTATGGAGCAATTTGTCACGCCCCCGAGAAGGCTCTTCAGGGCGAACGACCCCGCTATCAGCTCCAAGCCGTTGATGTGTAGGCTTTTTTCTGCACACGACCATATTCCTCCGGTGGAGATAGGCCCGCAACGCGCTCCCCAACCGTGAGTGCTCGCATCGGACTCGAGGATGAAATCCGGGGCCGTCCCAAAGATTGCTCTGCCGTTCCATGCTTCCATATGACGCAGCCACCATGTGAGTTCCTGCTTGGCTGCGCAATCAAGTGGCACTGAGTCTGAGTACGAGTGCCCTGAGCGCAGCTGTGTGGCCTTCAGTCGTTGTAGGGCCCTGTAATGGAGTGGACCCGGGAAAATTGCCTGAATGGAGGCCGATAGGAGTCCGATAATCCTGGCCAACTGCCGTAGTGTCAACACTGGTCGTGTGAGCGTCCTGCGGATCT